TCTGTGCTAAATTTCAACGTAATTTGTTTACTTTTCGGATATAATACGTACTAACAAATATTTTCATCTATGCTAATATTATAAAGAGGAAATATTTGCATTTTTGTATGTATTGCAATAACTCAAAAACTACTGAGCTTTATAATAAGTTATTGCACCATTAAAAAGCTACGTATCTACTGAGTAACTGTTTTTTCTACTTTTTTTAAATTACTTGAGGACGAAGTCGCGAGCATTAGCTAGTTTATAATATTACTAAGAATTATTCATGATATCCAGTATGTTGAGGCAGTAAACGTTAAACACTTAATATAAGATTCGTTAATTCCAGTGCTGGGCAACAGTCCTAGCGAGGAGACGACCCCAGAGGTGGGCAACAGCGGCACCATGGTGGTGCTGAGCAGCAGCGGCGTGCCGCGCCTGCTGGAGCCGCGCGTGGCGGCGCACATCGAGCGCGGCCGGGTCGCCATGCGCCGTCTCGAGGAGATGTTCGCCAAACACCCCACGCTGCAGAGCCAGGAGGTATGCACCACCTAAACCACGTACCACTCTACGTATGTCATGTATCCCTCTACGTATAACTTGTACCCCTCTACGTATATTACGTACGCCACTACGTACACTACGTACGCGTACACATCTACATACTTCATGTACGTGTTTACGCACTCTGCGACACATCTGCGTACACGGTGAACGTAGAGGCGTATTGGTGTACGTGTCTATACCCGCCATGGTACGCGCTTAATGCATTTTATATGTATAAATCATATATTTGATTTTTGTTTAATGATTTATTTCCTTAGATAATGAGAAAACTGCTGAATCTCTACAAAGACTGTCGGTTCCTCGATCGTCTGATGGGCACAACGTTCTTCCATGAAGATCATTTTCTGGTGAATAAGTGTACACATAGTTTTTTATATTTTTTACTAGCTGTTGCTGGTGGCGTGATTTAAAAAAATAACGATATAACCTGTGTTACTCAGTGATAACATAGATTTTTAACAGTGAAAGAATTTTTGAAATCCAACCTAGGAGTTTTTTTAGTTATTTCAATACATACAAATCTTTCCTCAGTATAATACACTAGAACCTCGATAAGTTAAAATCCAAGGAAAACACAAAATATTTTAAGTTATAGAGGTTTTTAAGTTACGGAGATTTGAGTTATCGAGGTTCAATTGTATTAGTATACATAACAGAAACGGTGATAAGTATCAGCTATTAAAACTATCTTGTTTTTAACTTTATTTATATAGTAATATATGCAGGGTCTGTTGGAACGTGTGCGCGAGCGCGGGGCCAGCACGCCGCGCGCGGGCGAGCGTCGCGTGCACGAGCAGCTGGCGCGGCTGTTCACGCCGACTGAGAGCAGCGAGGGCGCGACCGGCACGTCCGGCGAGACCGGCGACGTGCGCGACACTGGCGAGCAGGACGCTGCGCTCGACGCTATGCTCGTTGACGACGATAAAACAAGAGACCACAGACAGACTATTATCACTGCTAATGTCACTGTTGAAGCGATGGATGTAAGTTTTTATTCTTTTTCACGTGGAATAAAAAAAATAGTAAATATATAGCCTGTTACTCACTGATTATTTTAATGGTGCGAGAATTTAAAATCGGCCCGGTAGTTTTTTAATTATTTCAATACATACAAAAATACGAATCTTTCCTCTTTACAATATTAGTATAAGCTAGCTTTTTTCCGTGACGCTGTCCGCGTGGAATATAAAAATAAATGAATAGCATATGTATTCTTCCAAACTGCTCTCCATCAATGCCTTACCGTGTTCTGTTCAGCCGTTTAGACGGCAAACTCTAACATTCAGACATCTAAACTTTCGCATTTATAATATTAGTAGTAGGGTAGTTTTTAAAATAGTTCGTAAAATATATTGTATGTTCCAGGTTGAAAGCAATTCTCCAAAGAAGCCATTACATTTAAACATTGAGCCGGTGCAGTCGGGCTCCGGTGCTGTGGTTTCAGAAAATACATCGGCCGAGAATGGTAAGTTAGAAACTTGAGATCGAATTTATATCCATTTGCGACATATAGTGTTTGTTCCCATATAAATGTGTCAAGTTTATCGGAGTGACGAGCGATTTGTAGAATTCAATTCATATACAAAAGTAGATCATATACACGGTAACTGTACTCAATTGTAGTTGTGCGTTTGTTGGAGATAAAAAAATCGCGTAACATTAGAAACACTATTCTTAGTTGACCACCATCTTAATTGAAACTTCACAATACACTCTAATCGATTGCAAACATTGCAGAGATTAATCAATTGGTTTTATAATAACAAAACGCATCATTCCACCATTCAATAACTGTCATCTGTCATTCTATCGTCGCCTTGACATCTATCATACACGATGCAAATTCAGCCAGTACTCAAAATTGTTAGTTGCCAGTTACTTTAATCGATCAAATTATAAAATATTGGGCTGTTAAGATAATAATGTATGTGTTACAGTATGCGGCGAGGCGGGGGCGGGGGCGGAGAGCGAGGCGGAGGGCGGGGCTCGCAACGTGTGCTACAAGCTGTGCTCGCTCATACACGCGCAGCTGGTCAAGGCGCACGCAGAGGTCAGCCGGTACGTACAGTGTTGCCATAGTCCACAAGCTTTGTTCTGCATTTTTATATCATGCAACATTAACTAAAATATGCTAATATTAAGGTCAAAAAAATTTAACACGTTGATAAAAATAGATTTTTAATTATTTTGATCTTTTCGATGTATTAATGCAGTAAATTTTTAAATAAACGTTGAATTCAAATGTATGAAGCTTTGTATAAAGGCTCTAATTTGTTTTCCGCAGGAGAAGGCCGCAAGAATTGGCCGAATTCCTTAACAGCTTAATGAAAAATTCAAACGCGAGCGAAGAGAAGTTACCCTACCACTTTTCAGTGTGAGATTCAATTATATTTTTTTGGCATTTCTTATTATTTCAACTTATGGATATCTGTACAAAATGATTTTCTAAAAAAAAATATTTAAATCAGACAAGTTGCTTCAACAATTTTAGGTAATCAAAAATTACCAACGTTATTTCGCAGTGAAAATGGTCCTTCGAGACGGATATTTCAAACTTATATATTATCAACCTTCAGCATGTTTTTAAAATAGTTCCATTCATGTTTAGTAATTTAATACTTCATTAATAGTAATTAAATAAATCTCATTAAAAAAGCATATTAAAAAAAAGTTTAATTTCGTTAGATTTAGTACAGATGTCCATAAAAATTATGTTTTGCTGTTGTATTTAATTTTTCGTTATCTTTCAATTATTTACAATTTTCACATATAATTGGTACATTTATGTGATACTTTTGAAATGTTTCAATGTCCTTGGATGTTTTTTTAACTAATTTCCTTGCACCGCTATATTTCTAAATGTTTATAATTGTTGTGATGAGTTTTATACATATTTAATACTCGAATTCGCAATACTTATATTAAACAAATATTAAATATTATTTTTTGAGTTATTGAGTCATTTGATATTTTGTAAATTGTAGCAATCATTCCTTTTTTTTAAAAAATGATTCCGCAAAATTTTTTTCATCACTAGATACATTTTTTAAATTAACGCACAGATGTTATTTTTCTTTGATTTAATTATGTTTTATTTTTTAATATGACTCAGCAAAAAGTGGTAACCTAATTTCTCTGTTTTCCGATAGTTTGTAAAACCTCATTTATAGTGTTCGTTGTGTAGTTTGTCATATTTGTTTAATGTAAGTTTTGCGTTACATTAAAAATGTGTGTGACCCTGTGTGATATTCATGGCTTGAGTTCACCAAAATTCCATGTTCCATAAACACATATTTTCATCTAAAAAAGATATAGCAAATGTGTGTTTTGTAACTAAATCAGTTTGGAATTATTTTTGGCGAACTCTTACTGGTTTGCATGAAAACTGTGTGCAAGAAAAACATTTGATTATTTTGTAAACGAAAGTGTTTGTACATATAATATTGATGTTAACTTTAAATGCATGAGGTTTGTCTTATTATCGTAAATCTAATTTCTAAGACTAAGAAACATTGGTAGTTTACGCGCCAATAGCCTAATGGTTTGGGTACGGGCTGCCGATCTTGAGGTCGAAAGTTCGAATCCCGCCATTCGACTATTGTGAACCATATCCTAGCACAAGCCTAGAGCTTAGTTGGAATGGTTAAAAGAGATATTAGTAAATTAAAAATCTGCTAATATTTTTACTAAGAAAAAAAAAATGTAAAAAGACAAATCAGCAATTCATGTATAAATGTTTAACATAGATGGTAATTGATTGGGAATTTTGAGAATTACATAAATGTAAATTTCACGATACATTCAGTAGATTCCGTCAAATAGTACGAACATCTTTAAAACCTCTACCTTCTTTTATTAGCTTTAAGCAACAATGTACCTTAATATGTGTGAAGGTAGCTTTCTGTTAAGTTTTAATCGCAAAAGGTATATTAAACTGTCAAATGTCGACTGTCATTTGCATAAAAAATATTTTTACAAAAAAAAATTGATCTAACTTCTGACTATTTACGAAATACCTTGTTCGATTAAAAACTGGCGAAGTTCACAATCGTTCGGTAACATTTTAAATAAATAACTTCGTTATTGTTCAAATTTCCTATAAACATGAACACGAAGTAGAGTTTTAAATGTAATTGTAATAAATATTAACAATTTCCACGTTGACAGTCAATATGGTGCTCTGGTGGTGAGCATGGCCGACCAGGAGGAGAAGGGCCAGCCCAAGGCCGCGCCCGACGCTAAAGACAACACTGCCGCTACTGCCGCCTCAGCGCCCTTCTCTGATGACAAAAGTACGTTTAAAAAGTTATATATCATACTCCATACTATTATAAATGCAAAAGTTTAGATGGATGGATGTTTGTTAGAGTTTGTAGCTTAAACGGTTGAATGGATTTTGATGAAATTTTGGCATAAATGTAGAGGATAGTCTGGAAGAATACAAAGGCTACTCATTTTTGTTTTTTTTTAATTTCACGCGATAGGAGTCACGGGCAAAAGCTAGTACTAATATAAAGCGTAAACACACATTTCTTCGTGGCGTAGGATGTCAGCAATCACAGCACATTTTTTAATAATCCATTTATTAATTAAAAGCCCTAAACTTATGACACGCTTTTGGTATTTTCACACTATTAAACTTAGTGACAATAATTTGCAAAAAAACTTTCATGTGGGAAAGGGACAAAAACTATAAGCTAACATTAAGAAAGCCATGTTACCGTGGCAATGATAATTGTTATCCAATATCAATGGCCTTTGTTGCAACATTTGTAATTGAAAATTTAACCAAACAAATGTAACCAATAAAATAAAGTTATAATTTCATGCGGATAAAACCGCACGAGAACTAGTATTGTATATTTCAAATGTTTTAAAATTTATTCTCGAGCGCAATTAACAATGAAATCTCTGTCTGTATATTTTTAGTGCTAATGGGTGTTGATTCCAGATGTACTGTCAGCGGAGGCGGCGCCCCTAGCGACGGCGGAGGTGGAGGCGGAGACGGGGAGCGGCGCGGTGCCGGAGGTGGTAGCGGAGGCGGAGGGAGGCGAGGGTTTCTGTGTGCTGGAGAGCGCGCCCGCCGCGCACCGCTTCCGGCTCTCCATGCTGCAGCCTTCAGAGCCGCGCTCCTTCTACTCCGCAGTCAAGCGGGAAATCAAGCTGCTCAAGAGCGACCTGCCGCCTGGAGTTAGTATACCACTCCTATTTTAATTCGAATATCATTATATTTAGTAGTATGTATTAGCATTCTTAGTATACATAAAATAATAAATTATTATTTTACATAAGTCTAATAGATAAGGCGGTGGCTTAGCTGTTTTGTTACCTTTTTATGATAATTGCATTACTTTCAAATTTTAGTAGGATAAATAGAATTATTATAAAAATAGCGTTCACCCGCGACTCCGTTCGCGTGTTATTAAAAAAAAGGAAGGAGGTAGCCTATGTGTTCTTCCAGACTATCTACATCTATGTCAAATTACATCGAAATCCGTTCGACAGTTTACGCTACAAACTCTAACAATCATCCATCCAAACTTTTACATTTATAATATGTATTAGTATGATATGACACTTTTTCATGAATACACGTAGTTAATATATATCTATACTATTATAATAACGCGTAAACACACACTTCTTTGTTGCCTAAGATGTCAGCAATTACAGCATGTTTTTGAATAGTTATTTTTTTAATAAAAAGTCCTACATTTACGTCACGCTTTAAACTATATATTTCACGCTATTAAACTTAGGGGGTAAATATTTTGGACAAAAACCCTAATGTAGGAAAGAGACCATAAGTTGCTGCCAACATCAAGGTAGCAAGGTTGCCATGGTTTGTCATAATGTCAAATCATTTTGACGTTTGCAATTGATAATTTGACACATGTAAACAACAAAATAAAATTTTCATATTCTTATGCGGATGAAGTCACACGGGAACAGCTAGTTAAAGTTATTGTTTGTGTGTTGTGCAGGTGTGGGTGCGCGGGTTCGAGGACCGCATCGACCTGCTGTCGGTGATGATCGCGGGGCCGAGCCGCACGCCCTACGAGGGCGGGCTGTTCGTGTTCGACGTGCAGCTCGGCGGCGAGTACCCGCGCGCGCCGCCGCTCTGCCACTACCACTCCTACTGCAGCGACCGCCTCAACCCCAACCTCTACGAGGACGGCAAGGTACACCGACTTCTATATGCATGTTAGGCTTGTAACGGAACTCCGCTTCCGCAACTGCGGAACTTCCGCAAGAAATATTAACTCCGCATCCGTTATTTTTTATTTGGAGTTATAACGGAGGTTAATTTACCTCTTTAACGCGAGTTTAGGTATCGTTTATGCGGCCCGCGCGGACGTGCTAAAACAACTAACTATAATTGTTATACATGGTATTCGCATAATAAACTGTATCTTGTCATTATGTACCAATATGTATTTTGAAATAACGCTTTAGTTTTAGTTTTTATTTCTTCAATAAATCGCAATTAATACTTTATTATTAATCTCTGCTTCCGTTAACCTCCGATTCTGCAGAGGTGAAGCCCTTCGCCTGCGCATCCGCTTCCGTTAAAATGGCCTCCATTGCAACCCTAATGCATATACATATACTACCAAATGTCGCACAGATACATTAGATTTCTGTACGTGATGGAAGCCTAATTTTAGTCCCTTTCTTATCAGGAAAGAATGGCTTTCTGTCCTTATATCCATGTAAAAGGATGGGAAGCCATTATTTTCTTATTGTTAAATGATATTATGATTTACTCCAGTTATTATTAAATGTGTGTATGTGCAGGTGTGCGTGTCTCTGCTGGGCACGTGGTCGGGGCGCGGCGTGGAGGTGTGGGGCAAGGACAGCTCGCTGCTGCAGGTCATCGTCTCGCTGCAGGGCCTCATCCTCAACGCGGAGCCCTACTTCAATGAGGCAGGCTATGAGAAGCAAAAGGGTCTGTCTATTTTGGTGCTATTAGTCGTTAATTTTACTTTAAACGAGCTGTCAAAATTAAGTTTTAAAAAGTGTTCAATAACATTCCCACGTGTATCTACCTTCTAAGAATTACTTTCCAGTTAAAGTTCCGTCAAAATCGATTCACCCGTTATCGAGGTAGTGGTCCAGTCGCCATTTTGACAGCGTACAATTTAAAAAAAGTAACCTATAATATCCATGTCTTTGTCAGCTATCCTTCAGTAAAAGTCCCTTCACGAGCCATTTTCGTTATTCGTAACATAAATTCATCAACTTCGAGAAATTTGGAATTTTTCTCTTGATGCAGACTGACAGACCCTCTAATGTTATTATATGTATAGATGAACGTCGTATCTCGTTTCGCAGGCACTCAGCAGGGCAAAGAGAACTCCCGCATGTACAACGAGATGGTGCTGCTGAAACTGGTGCAGTCAATGACGCGCATGGTGGTCAGCCCGCCGGAGCCGTTCCG